ATCTAGCAAGCATCTGACTGTAATCTCAGCCGGATTTTCGACTGTATCGATCATGAAATTCTAGTATAGGCGTTAGAGGTAAATAACATGAATGGTTTGTATCATATCTTTCCAATCGAATACAATATATTAACATCCAACGTAAAGATCACAATATCGACAGAACTTTCCTTTCTCATCAATTAGTAAATAAAATCGGAGTTCCTCAAGGATATAGCCTGGGACCAATCCTTTTTATTATTTATATCAATGAATTTCCGTCTATTTTGTCTGAATTCTTTACTTGCTACTATGCTGGTGATTGCAGTAAAATATCCATCAAACGTTACCAATTTGGTAAAATTGGTTCTGCAACAATTACATGCCTCTAAAACTAAAAAAGGTCCTTTTCATAAAAAATAAAATAAAAATTGTATAAAATTAAATTATTCAATATCTGGTGTTGCAATAGAAAAATGTGATAATGTGAATTTTTTAGTTGTATATCTAGATAGTGATCTGAGTTTTCGCACGCATTGTAGCAGAAATCTCACTAACAATCTTAGTAAACATTGTTTTTTACTTTGATATAATTTTGGATAGATACAATCTAGATTAAGCTATTGGTCTTATTATGACAGACAACCAGACAGGGATTGAAAATGGTAGAAGTACAATGCAAATCAATAGTGAACAGTCAACAGACCCTCCAGGCCCTAGCAGAACATAACAAGGTCGGTCACTCTTAAATGGGTGCAAGGAAAGAAACTCAGAAAATTCTAATTGGACCAGAACCCACATGTGGTATTTCATATCAACATCTTAAGGGGCTGCTAATAAAACAGTTAATAGAGAACACCATAAACTCCTAAATATTCAAAGAGGGTCCATCCTAGAGCTGACAAAATCAATTCCAAAACCTTAGGAATGAACTTAAGAGCGTGATAAGGCTCTTTACGGGACACTGCGGCCTTAGAAGACTCCTAAATATTTTTAGGGGTATCTGACTATTCCCTATGTAGAATATATAAAGAGAAGAACCGAAGGAAACTTCTATTCACATACTACTCGTATGTCTTTGCCAGAACCTCAAATGGGAATGGAAGTGACACTTTGGGGTACAATATCCGAAACTTGAAGAAATCGCGAAAGCGCCCATTTTAAATTCATCAAGAATATTATTCTGATGTTGTAGAAGCTGAGAGGGGTACAATATGCCTAGGGGTTCAGTACAAATGGGCTTTGAACCACGCTCTAATTCAGATGGATAAAAAATCATCACGCTCTCAACTTAAAGTAAAATTTAATCATTACAACATCTCGTTTCACCCAAATATTTCTATGGTTATTTCACCCGGTAGAAAACTACACAACATAGCAACAACTATCGACCATCAGTACCATCAGCCATGTTTTCCTAACGGAATGGCGAAGAAAGCAAAAAAGGACTGAAAAACACTAAATATTAGAAACATGTCTTGTAATCCAACTGTACTCCATACAACTTTAATCTCTAGACGTTAGGAAAGTAGAAAAAGTAAATTAACAGTAAAAGAGAATGGCGCAACAAATTTTTATTTTAACTTTTTGTTGTAGCTATCTCTAAAAGGTAATGCAGCTGTTCATTTCATACTTACTGATGGATTATATTATTTTATGTAACCTACTGACTTTGATACTCAGGAGCGGCACGCTAATAGACAAAATACAAAATACCCAAACGGAATATTTCATCGTATAAAAATAGTAACCTTTGAGAAAAGGTAACAATGTAAATTCAATTAAGTTTTAGTTTTATAAAAATAGTTGCAGTTTTAAAAATCGGCAGATACTGAAGTGCTCTTGTACGCAGCACCGTATGTGAAACATATATGGATTTTTCAAAATATCTATATTGTCAAGAAAATACATAAAATCTCTACACCTTTTTGGTCCATTTCCTCCTTCGTAACATAACATGCTTTTCAATTTTACATTTAAGGAACGATTGTAAAAAGGGGATCTTAATTCAAGACACAAAAGTAGCCTTTTACATAAATTTCACTACAATACCTAAAACTTTTTTTAAAGATATGTACAACCTTTTTTTGTCTTGAAATATAATAAAAAATATTACAAAAACGGTAAATTATGAGAGCATTTAATACCCGTAATTTTGCTTAGAAGTTTTTAAAATAAACCACATACCAAACTTCTAACTATCAAAAAAAATTTATCGTACTAAAAATGTACCGTATACCGCTATTATTTTTTATTAATTCTTAAGGAATATTCTAACTTTAATATCGGAAGCGAAATTGGTAATAAAAACAGACCGACCAGAAGCAAAATTTCAGGTGATTCGCAAATTTTGCGCAATTCCCACAGCATTGACCCCTTGTTTCAAGGCCAATACCTACAATAACGGTTCTTCGCTGCCAATCTTGTAATTTTATTCTAATATGATGTTCAGAAACCTATTATGTCATACTAATTTGCAATTCTACTTATGTTGATATCCATTCGGATAGGTAGTGCTATTAAAAAACCAATTACATTGTGAGATGGAGCTTTCTCACAATGTAATTAATTTAAATAAAGGTTATTCAACTGTTCAAACGTGGTCATCTTCGAATAAGATATACCTAAATGTAGATATAAACGCAAATCCGCACTACATTTTTTTTAACAAAAGTTTTAGCACAATCGTTTAGTAAATTGTAGATTTGGACCCCTCGAAATAGTCGGGAAACGACTTATTGCATGCTTATTGCTTACTTCATTTTCACAGCTAGCAAGTGTCACTTCCTTACCCGCAAATGTCATTTACTATATGCTTCATAAAAGTGTTTTCGTATCTCACTCTAATTTTTTTTTCGGAATCATGCCTCGGAAAGATTTTTCTGCAGCTATTCGCAATTCTGGTGGGGTACATTCAAGTTAACATATAATTACAATTTTATTATTAACTTGCAATATCATGATGTAGGTTTTCGTGGTTCCCTAAATCATATTTCCCACCTAATATTATGGACTTGTCCATATATAAAATTGGAATTAGCAAAATTGGCGATATTAATCTGGAAACACAACCTGACACACTTAGGAGTAGATTAGATTAGGAGTTGGACGTTATTTGTCCTTGTCCACCGCGACCTTTTCAGATATATTGTGGGACTCCGTTTGTTTTAGCCTGGTCTTTTTTATTAGACTTAGTAGCTTTGACAGTGGCTCCCGCATGTAGTTGCATGCAATTGGCTTTTCTTCGCCCAATGTTAGAAACCTCATTCCAGCCAGGCCTTCGCATTGGCACAGGACGTGAAATGATGTTTCCTCTTCTTCACAGAACCTGTACAATGTTGCTTCTTCTGCTGGATTTATTACACTCATGTGCCTTTTGAGGCGACAGTGTCCAGTAAGAAGGCCTACTGTTATCCTAACGATTTGACGCTTTTGATCCAGTAGGTCTTTCGTGAACTTGGCCGATGGTTCCTTGATTAACAGTTTGGCCTGTCTCAGTCTTGGATAGTTGTTCCACCATTCCTGAGACTCTTTTTGCATCCAGTGTGTAATGGATGCCTTAGCAACTCCACTTAGGAGTAGCTGGGTTATGATTGTAATTAGAATAAACTACCCTGAAAATGGGGGAACCCCATAGAAGGATATTATTATAATTACATGTCCTAGAAAATGTAAAATAAAACTTAAAACGAAATAAATATTAATTTGTTATATTGCCTAGCAACGGTCTCACGGGTATCTTCTTTAAAAAAAATTATCAAATTATAAAAATGAATACCAATGTGGTGAACTGTTACACTCCGTATAAGCTCCCTAAACTGGTTGTTATGGATAAGTTGACAGAGGTTTTAATTCTGACGTTAGCTTTAGTTTTGAATTTTGAGTTTTCATAAAATATAATTTTAGACAAATATACAATTCCAAAGTTTGTCCAGTATATTAATATTTGTTAGCTAAAAGGCTAAACCAATATTATTATTATTTGAAACTTATATAAAATTACAACTAGTAGATTGTAAGTAAAATCGTATACATACCTAATGAGACAAGTTATTTCCTCCCTAGAGAGAAAAATTCATGTGAGGGAAGAAAATTGTATTGAGGTAGGAAGTAAAATATAAAGAATTCATTTAATTTACATTATTACTGGCGCATTCAATGGTAATTTTAAATGTATTTTCAATACTAAAATTAAAAAAAGTCGGTTTCATTTAATTTATTTCTAAAAAAATATAAAAACTACTTTTCAAATGTCTTAACAATGACGAGTAACGAATGTATGGTTATTCCAAACCAGACAAAATGACCCTGTAACACTGGATTCTTTTGTTTTGTTTTTATTCTGAAGATCAAATCATGAAGTACAAAAGTAAATTATTTTCTCGTGGCACTTCATTAAATTGTTTAGAAGATCTTGCATAGTGTCATAAGAATGGCAGCTTTACCGGGTTTTAATTTAATCATGGCCCAAACCAAACAAGCCCCCATCAATGGATAGGGAAGTATAGCATAGCAACACAAGTATCTGACCTTATCATCTCTAAAAGATTTTAAAAGCTGATCGATTTCTGCTTTCAACTAGATGGATACTAATCGATTTATTTTTATGCATCATAAATTTTAAAAAATATATTTTTGAATTCATATTTTTTATAAATAAAAGCTGGCTATGGATTATACAGAGTAAAGATTAAGAGACACAGACATACATCATCGCGAAAATTGTCAAAACGGATTCAGGGGACCACAAAACGTAAAAATCCGTCGAAAAAATCATGATTCCTATACTTTACTTACTGGATACAAAGTAAAAATAATAGTATACTCGAAGTAATGACAAGCAGTTAAAACAATATTTAGTTTACTACCTAATTTTACTCAAGAATAAAAACGTTTTAGTTAAAAACTTAATGCAAATAAATTTTGAGTTTAGTACCATTCGTATGATACGCTACTGCGAGTAACAGAAAATTTATTTGATAATTATTATTTATTGATGGTGAAATAAGTTAGAATAAAAAGATTCACCTACGAAAAGTGTGCGATAGAGTTTTTGTATGAGACACTATTTAGAAAATAAACCTGTTCTTTACCAAATCAGTTTGTTTGTGCCGGTCTATTTAGTAATAAGAGAATAAAGAAAATGAACCTTTACAATCAGTAAGTACTTGTGAATGTTTATGTTTATTTTTTATCAAATTAAAAATATATTCTAGGAATGTCGAAAAAAAGAATATATTGGAAAAAATAGAACAAAGCATTCGGCAATATTTTGTATTTCCTGAACAGAAATTAAAGAATTTTGAAATAAATATAGATGAAATTATTAAAAAGGCTGCAAATGGGCAGTTAAAAGAATACACAATTGATTGTAGACCATTGAGAAATAAGTAAATTGCCTACATAAACTTAAATTTAATGATTTCTACAGGACTATAATTTTTAGGTATTTCTTTGGCGAACGATACACATACGGTTCAAGAGAAAACGGTTTAGGATCTGAAAGACTGTACCCCAAAGACACAGTCGACAGAATTCCTAACTGGATAACAAATTCCCTAATAAACCCACTTATAGAAGCCAAAATCCTGCCTAAAAACTATGTAAATAGTGTTGTAATTAACGACTATCAACCAGGAGGGTGCATAGTGTCCCATATCGATCCTCCTCAAATTTTTGATAGACCCATTATTTCCCTCAGCTTATTTAGCGATAGTGCTCTTTGTTTCGGTTGTAAATTTCAATACAAACCTCTTAGATGTTCAACACCTTTACTTAGATTGGATATGCCCAGAGGAGCTGTTACTTCTTTAAGGTATTCATACATTTTTCTCTTTTAAAGAAGATATACGTGTACATAAATATTTATGTATAATTAATAGCGAAATATGTAACGAGTGATTATTTGCGGGACAAATGAAGTTACAGAACTAAACCATATTTTCTTCAATAATTTTAAATAAACAAATTTTGTTAAAGTACCAAAATCGGTTATTTGTAACAACTAGTAACTACTAAAAATCACTTTCTTAGAAATTAGTAAATATCTCAAGTATGAACAACTGTCATCGACTACCTTCTAAAAAATATTTAATACAGAAGTAAAAATAAATTATTCATGAAAAAATATATATTTTTAGTGAAAAATTAAATCTTGTATACGGAGTGGCCCAAAAGTCTGGAAACGGCCAATTATCTCGTAAATTGCTAATTCTAATTGTACAAAATTTGGGATACACCTATTTTGGGATACGGAGATTCCAGATTTGATATTTGCAATGTTGCCAGATTTGTCGTTTCTCTTATAATATTAGTCACTTTGGTTTTTCAAATTTATCACCCTATATATTCAGTCATTATTGGAATCTCCTATTCAATACGAGTTTAACCATATGTAACACTTATGATTTTATGTAGTCTGGAAGGTCTTAAATAAATAAAATAATCATGGAGACTTGTGGTAAACGCATTCTACCATCGATTAGGGTACTATGTCAACTCACAAATGAAGCAGATTTTGAACACTTGCTAAAGTAACCATTATGTTAAAAATGTTATAATCTTTCAATTGTTACGTTTTAATGTAGTTAAAAATAGTTTGTATTAAAAAATTTATTGAGACAATTAGGCGTTGCCAGACTTATTTTATTTTTTTAGGACCTTCCAGACTACATAAAATCATAAAGTGTTACATATGGTTGAACTCGTATTGAATAGGAGATTACAATAATGACTGAATATACAGGGTGATCAATTTGAAAAACCAAAGTGACTAATAATTTAAGAGAAACGACTAATCTGGCAACATTGCAATTATCAAATCTGGAATCACCGTATCCCAAAATAGGTGTACCCTAAATTTTGTACAATTAGGGCTAGCAGTTTACGAGATAATTGGCCGTTTCCAGACTTTTGGGCCACTCTGTATACATGCGTTATTAAATGATAACACCCATCGGGCGACATCAATCACTATAAATAGCTTAAATGGGTCTAAAACATATTTGATTTTGTTTCAGTTTGGGGCCAATTTGGTGTCATTTTTTTGCTTTTTTTTTGGTTTGATTTTTCCTAAATATCTTGGCTTCTATTGCTCCAATTTAGACAAATAAAAAAAGAAATATTCGTTATTAAATTCTCTACAAATCCATACGTGTTTATTATGTTATAAATCTAAAATAAAAGACTTGTATATGTGATTCTGTACATCTACTAAGCGAAATAATAGGACAAATACTAGACTAATAGTGGACTATTAACAGGGCATGTATAACATCGTCCTGGCAGAAAAGACATTGTGCTGATTCTGCTAGGAAGAGAAGGAAACTGCTGTACACATATTCCTTACACTAAGAGAAGAAAAGCCAAGGGCAACTACCTACACCGGAGAGCTACTTCCTAGTCTAAGGAGTCTGCTAATACCGACTATCAAAGTGTCGGTTAATTATTGTAAACAGCAGAAAAAATTACTTTCTTAATAAATTTCTGACAGGACATAGGTCTTTTAGAAGATATACACACAAAATCAAAGAAACAGACGACAGCCTTGTGTATATACGACAAGTAAGAAGTTACACCTAACCATCATACTCTGCTCGAGTGCACAAGATAGGAAAATCTAAGGGTAGGTAAGTTTATAGAAGCAGTATTGGATTCGCCATTGACTACTGATAACATAATAATGATTAAAATACTAAAAAAATTACGTTTGGGATCATGGAACCAAAATAATAAGAACAATTATGCAGGAAAATAATGAATGACAATACCTGGCAGGATATAGACCAGAAGAAAGACAAATGTAAGCCCGCATAGGAGGCACGATAATAAATCCTCCCAAAGATATTGCCGTCGTCTTATGGTACGAACCGCAGAAATTTTCTCCTCTTCTGGAAGAAAAAAAGTATATAGAATCTACTACAAAAGACCAAACTAGACAATGTACTCTAAACAACGATTAATAGATATTCACAACAGATCTGAAAAGGTCGAGGCATACAGTCTTAACAAAATTTCATCTAACCTAGCCTAAGTGGAAAATCCTATGAAGTTCCAAATTTTGAGCCATATAAATAAGTATGCACTGCACGATAAGAACGATTATTTTTAAACGAATCTTTGACCAGGAAAAGTATACCTACCTATCTACGTGCATGAATTAAAAAATTCCCGTGAAACATTTGTTTTATGATTTATATAAAAAATAGCTGAATAGATATTTTTACGCCGTTAATCAGTTAATAAATGTATACTTATTTGTAAAGGGATGAAAGTGTTTTGATACATTTTTGGATTTTTTTTTTAATAATTATTTTAAATGTCAAACTACATTAAAAAAATTGTTTACAGCTTGAATAAATGGGTATAATACAATGAAATGCAATGTTAACTTTAAAAAATCTTCATCTACCTTTTATGTGTGGGGATCTACTTGTATTGTGTTAGTGCTATACCAGTTATTTAGTTTCTATTGGTAAAAAATAAATTGGAATATTAATTTTTATGACTAGTGAACTGACCACTAGGGTGCATCCCAATAAAAACTCCCAAGATGTATAACTTCTAAATGAATACGACTATTTAAAAACCAGTTTGTACAGCATAAAGAGGGCTTTAGTTTTGAATTTTAATCGTTTTTAAATATAGCGACATGTAGATGGCGTTACGCTCCAAAAACATTCTATTAGAAACTGTGAAATGTAGTTTATGTGAAAAAAAATGTATTGTTAGGTAATTTTATTCGTAAGACTAGCATTTCTTATTTGTAACTGTATTATCATCAAGCGCCACTTAATATCTATCATTCACCTCACTCTCATTAACATAGGCAACCAGTAAAGCAGATTTGCGACTGCGTCGGTATTTTTCGTACCAATTTAATTCAAAGGTATCAATCTTTATTATCTTATTAGATATCTATTTTTAATATTTTCGAGCTAATATTGACCCGTACTTCAGTTGGACTAATAGTATGACTGTTCTTTATAGTGGATTTGCGGCAAACGAAATAACTCACTGTGTGAGACCAGAGGATGTCACTCAAAGAAGAGCAGTTATTATGTTACGAAGAGTGCACAATTGCGCTCCAAGACTGCCCACTGAAAACCAAATTTCTAATTCACACAAGATATTTAAAAAGATTGGTTCCGTTGTATTAAATCCTGAAGAATTTTCAAAGTTACATCTAAACTTATTAAAATGGCAAAATGAGGGAAATTCTTTCGGAAGAATTGGAAAAAGAAATAAAAATAAACGCAATTTTACACGTTATACAGCTAATTATTACAAAATGGTTTAGATTATTTTTAAGGTCTGTTACGGTTTTATATTAAATATCTATCAATAAATTACGTTAAAATAAATATATCGTTTTATTTTTTTAGTTTATTATAATATTAAAGGTTTTTGTTTACATTTTTTAAGACAAATAATTTTCCTGATGCCCAGGTATATAATAACATAATACTCTCCCTAATTCACCCCCTTACGAGTGAATTTTAACCCCAAAAGCTGAGCTTGTCCGGAGAAATGGACGGCTATTATTATTACTTGCCGTGGCGCTCCGGGGCGACTTAAAGATGATTGATGGTGCCATTTGACTTACAGATGAGGATAACCCGGAAAACCTCACCCACCATCATCTAGACGATAATGTATGGTGTTTTTTGTTTTTTTTTTTATATATATATATATATATAGGAGTTATCTTCTTTTTTAGGATGTTTTGCCCTTATTGCAATAAGTTTTGTCTAGGCCTGTGTGGCAGGTTGTATTCCCACAAATAGAAATGCCAGTTTTGCTATTTCTAACTTTACGTTTGAACCTAGTCTAGAGATCAGAATAAAGTAGGAAACATGATTTTGGGAAAACACGAAAAAACGAATCACAATTCTGTACAAAAAAAATTATCTTTGATCTAGTGAATAATCCTGTACAGCTGCAAACTTGCTGTCCATAAGTTGCTTCTTTTGACATATACAAAATTTCACAACAAAGCAATAATTTTTGATAAAAAATTATGCATCACTTGGAAATCCATAATCAAGCATGAAATTGCCAAAGGTGAATGTTCCCAAAAGGCACTTTAGCTTTAGATTTGGATTATTTTTTGAATAAAATAAATCGAAATCACTTAAGTGCAATGATTTAAACTTGATGATATTTTTAATTTCATCAATATTTTTAATTCATACTTTGCTCTATATTGAAATTCAAATGTTTTACTCTTCATTATTATAACGCTTTTATAATGGATTTCCAAGTATCAGAAATATATTTTTTTTTAAATGTAAGATACACTTTTGTATACAACAGCTTCATCAGTATATTAAAATTTAAATAAAATAAATTATGTATTTGGTTTGGGTACCTTTTTGAAAAAACAAAATCTTTATTTAACGCTTTTATTACAAAAATGTACATCAAAAATATAACTCAAACTCAACTAACGCACATTTGCATAAATACATAATTTATAAAATCACGAAACAACCTTTGCCCTAGATGCTACGGCAATATAAGCTACTACCAATGAAACGAAAGTAGCGATAAATTCAGACTTTAACCAGGGACCATTGTAAGCTCCAGGGTGGGATACAATTAAATTTACTAAGGCAGGTACATTTTGGATATCTTCTTTGGACCTAATGGCTTTTCTGTAAGCTGTGTAGCCATCTTCATCAAATAATCTGACTATTCTGTCACCAGACTTTGCAGTTTTTGGTTCTTCAGTCCAGCTTACCTAAAAAAAAATATAATTAATATTTAATATATATCAGTTATGACAAATAAGTCTGTTTTGTGAAGAAGGTATGATTTTCTAACAGTTCCTAGAAGATTCAAAGCACTATCACTTTAAAAAGGTAGTTCATAAATGTATTTCTTTTAAACATATTTCATTTCTGTGAAGTTTTATTATTTTGACCATTTGCTTTGAACCTACATTAAAAATAACTGGTAGCTATGTTCATTAATACCATCAGTGTAGTTCAGTTGACGCGATACGTTAGTATAGCTATGATAGATACCACTATCGTTAAAGGGATAAGAAATGTTCATTGCAATGATTATTTATATTTAAGTATTGACTTTATTTCTTATGTTTATATTATTTTATTAGGTATCTAAAAAAGATTGTTTTGTGGTTTTAGGTTTCCTCTGCACTTGTGGAGTAAATAATACCTAATATTTCTATGTTGTCTCCTAAAACTAAATATTTTTCTTTGTACCTGTAATAGTGGTATTTAGAAGTCATTTTGGAGTAAATCCAGTATGACTTTTAGTCGCCAACATCTAAGATTAGAGACAAAACCTATATAGATGGTATTAAATTTTTTTTTGAAACTAAATTAATGTTTTTAAAGCAGGTATTTGTATTTCCATTAAGTATTGATATCCATATGCTACATTTATAAAAGAATATAGAAATTTTGTTTAAAAGTATATTTCATTACTTACTTGAAATCTGTTATTTCCTACAGTAGATACTGGTGAAATAGTTCCATCTAACTCGGCATATAAATTTCCAAGTTTTCCCGAACTGCATTTTACAGAAAATTCGGAAATATAAGCAATATTTGTAACTATTGTTGCATCCAGTGTTGTGAAAGATGTTGCAGCTACTTCTGGATTTGAACATCCCATGCATACATTAAATGAAACTAGAACGATAAATGCTAAAACGGATAATCTTGCCATCTTGCCTTTTTAATTTTAACTCAGACTAAATAAATGTTCTACTTTACATTTACAACTACCACCACAATACGTTGTCCGGTGAAATTACCCAGTACCCAGTTGCCACGTAAAAATTTAAAATTACGTATGTTGGTTATGTTTATCACTTCTTTGAATAACTATTTTATGAATAAACAGTCTCAATTTTTAACGGGTAAGAGAAGGATAGTGTGAAAATTTTAAATTCCGGATTAAGTAAAAAAGCTGCTTTTGACATGTACGTTCAACGCGTCAGTACAACACGTGCTTTCATGGCAACATGGCACACGTCATCGCAAATCGCAATGCTGCCAACTTCTAGCGGTACTCTAATCCATCGTTAGTGATGCCATAGATTAAAGATTAATAAAAGAAGTGGGTACCAATTAAAAAAAAAGGATCTAATTAGTGAGTACATCAGAAAATGTACTTACGTGGTCAGAATACGCATATATCAGCGCCCGAATTTATGCACCCCAACATCCAACCATATCAAAATGCGCCCAAATGTATGCAACCCAACACTCACCTATACTTGAAGTCGTACCCTTTAGGTTCTTTCGTTCGCTGTTGGTGCAGTGTCCACCAGTGTAAATTACACCAGTTAGACCACCTTATTTACCTTAGTTTACTTCCCTCCTTATTCATGCATTGCGTTCGGTTTGCCACGTTCCTTTAACTCCAAACGACTCTTTTAGCGTTCGGTTTAGTCCGATTAGTGACAGTTTAACACGCTTAAATGTCATTTAAAAGCACCCTAAAATTTGTCCCGCTCCAGCCCCTGACTGACCGAACTCGCCTCTTATATACATGTCGAGTGTAATTCACTCCTGGGGGGCTATTTTCAAACTCGAGAGAATTCATTTCTCTCAAGAGAAATGTCATACGTCAACGTAAAACCGTATTTTTAGGGCTCTTAGGGCCAGTGTGAACTCACTGACTGTTTCTCTCGGTTTATTTAGACAGAATTAAAATCTTCCTAAGAATTTTAATCCTCGATGCCTTTAAAAACAACATTTCCACATTGACGTATGACATTTCTTATAAGAATCTTGAGAGAAATGAGTACTCACACAGTTTGAAAATAGGTCCCCTGCTAAATAGCTGGCGGAGAAAATATCCACCAGTGGACACCACATCGCCGACAGGAAGGTTTAGCGGATTTTACACCGGGCCGAACGAAAGGTTTAGTGTACGTTGGTGTAGTTCATTCCTACACCTGTGGGACGAACGAAAGAACCTTTTATCACCGATTATGTTACTGTGTAAACTCGAATAAATTGAACCATACATTATTTAAAGGTTTCTATTTTTAAGGAGATGTAAAAGGAAACCGGAATAGGTATAAAATAAATGGATTTGCATATCCACTTACATCAAAATATCCTAAAATTCGGATTTTATAATTAAAAAAATAATTTTACTTTAATTTCGTCTTGGTCTTTGATCATATATACAGATCTAATCAATATTTCGGAGTTCTAAGTCGGACAAATCGATTTTTTCTGAGTTCTAAGGGTCGTTTTTTCAATGTCCAGTCAAAGTGGCTGTTACGTAGCCGACAACTATATCGTAGCTGGCAGTCAAAGTCCCTGTTACCGATGGAACCTGTGGATGGAAGTGTTTTTCATCACGAATTTAACTGCTAGCTACGTAGTCTAATAGTTTTTATTTATTCTTAGACTGGTTGGCATTTCTGCTAATTTGTTAAATGGTTTTTATTGGATAAATTAAATTTTCCGCTTTACATATCGTGTCTTGTGTTGATCGTCACCGACCTTCACATAAAAATTGTTCTATTTTGCTTCCATTTTTCTTTAAGATCTTGTTATTTTCTGTTTTTGGGCAATTGGTGATTTAGAAAAAAGTGAAAATATCTAATTACGCGGCATCAGATAGAGCCCTATTATTGAAATTTGCTTATCTTACAGAATGTAAAAAAAAAAAACGGAAAATGCAATATCACGGAAACGAAATGAGAAGGTTGCAGAAAAATTTTATAATAAAATTCTTTTCATCAATATCAAAATAATTGGGCCGTTCCCTTACAATACACGGATTACACGGTCATCTTTGCTCATATTAAATAATTTCTTTGTCATCGTTGCTGTGAATGTATTCAAATAAATCCATTTTTGAGAAATAATAACATTAATAAAAATATTAACCTCTAAATTTGACAAACAACGTCCTACGCATGTACAATAAATAGCTGGCGGCTATCTATACGAAATTACCACTTGCAAGTGTCGGTTACGGTTACAGTCAAAATAGCTGACGGCTATCGTATAACTGGAGGTCGAAAAACGTTTTGACACTCAGTGGCTGACGGCTATCTCCGTAGCTGCCAGCTATTAGGCATTCCAAACAAATGAATTACCAGTGGGCAGGTTTGGTATACCTAAGGGTGGCGACATATGGTGTATTCTATCTACTTTACGAAAAATCATGAATAATGGATTACATTTAAATATTTTATGTCAAACACGATAACAATAATATTTAAAAAAACCCACCTATACATTTCTTCATAAATTGGCAGGCTTGGAGAGTACTACTTCGAATAAAAATAGCGTCCAAGTTGCAAGACTATGTCGCTACCCCCTTAAATATACAAGAATTTCCCACTGGTACCTATTGTTTGATAGGTCGTTGGAATGCCTAATTCTAAATAGCCGGAGATTGAAAAACCGGACCTTAAGTAAGCCAAATCTATTTTTCTGGTTTCTAAGTCGGAATAATCAATTTCTCCAAGTTCTAAGTTTGAGTAATCTATTTTTCCGATATATAAGTAAGTTCTAGGTTTGAAAAATCGATTTTTGTAATTTTGTCTTAGGCGTTTTTTAAAAATAAAACAATAACATGCTAATAGTGTATAATGTGTATAAGATGTAAACTTACTGAAATACATGATATATAAATAAGTACGGAATTATAATTAATACTTTGAAAAATAAATATAAAAATACTTTAGAGGGTATGCAATTCTTTCATTTTATGTATAACTTTCGCCCTTTATTCCAGCAACGGCTGACTTAATTAAAGCCTTTTGCCTATCGTTTGCACATGGTATCCAATATTAATTAGAGCCTGATGGTCCAAAATTTTTCTTCCGTCAAATATATAAGCTGGCTTCATCATATTGCCATAGATCTTTTTGTAGTCTAAGTCCTGAAAAAATAAAAAAATGAAACTCACAAGAAAGAAAAAAAAATTAGATGTTTGAATAATTTTTAAAAAACCGGCACGCCAACCCTAACATTATTTAGTTTTATTACAATACGTTTTACACTTACAACAAATTCGTCCCATTCAGTACATACTACAATGGCGTGACAATCTTTTGATGCAGTGTAGGGATCAGTATAAATAGAAATCCGTTTTCTATAATTTTCTGGATTTTCACATACATATGGATTGGTTAAGTCTTCGTCAATTTGTTCTTTGTCCACCTAATAAGAAAATTTAATGGTTGTTCATTACTCAAACAGATACTAACGTTCAGGCCACAGTTAAAATTTCTTCATTTAAACACTTAATGTTAAACGTTTAATTTGAAACACCAAAATACTAATCCTTACTCACAACTTTATTAAAAATGGATATTTTACCTTAGGATCATAAATTTTAATAGAAGCTCCCTCATCTAGTAACGTCTTAGCTACATGTATAGCAGGACTTTCTCTAGTATCGCCTGTATTTTTCTTAAAAGCGAATCCAAGAATACATATTTTCTTTCCAGATAAAGTATTAAAGCAGGATTCAATTATTTTTGTAGTAAAACGATGTTTTTGATACTCGTTCATATCTATGACTTGCTGCCAGTAAGCTGCTACCTCTGGTAAATTCAAGCATTCACAAATATAGACGAGATTTAGTATATCTTTCTGAAAGCAGCTACCACCAAATCCTAAACACAATTAAAATTAAGCATCATTAATTACAGTTTGGCGATATAAATAACCAAATACTTGACTGTACTGCTTTAATCAGTAAAAACCTGTGCTTGCCAAGCAGTTTCTCATGCAATCTCATCTCACTAAAACCGCAACCGTCAGCTCAAGAGCAGTAAAGTCAAACTTGACAAATGAGAATTATGTTTTATATACACTATTTCTTACCTACAGAAGCTTGCAAAAACTTGGAACCTATTCTCGAGTCCAATCCTACAGCTCTAGCTACTTCAGAAACGTCTGCACCTGTAGCTTCACATACTGCCGATAACGAATTGATACTTGATATTCTTTGGGCCAGCATAGCATTTGCAGCCTATTCAAGAAAGCATATTTATAGTAAATTTATTTGGTTTTTAAGTTAACTAAAAAGAATGTCAATTAAATTGTCTAGATTTTAGTATTTATAAAATGGTAGATACATTTTTTTTTAAACTCCTTTATTAAAACAGTAAGTAGTACACATCCGCTCCGGCCAATATATCAATTTCAGAGGGAGTGTTAGATCTATCAACTGCAAGATTTGTTAAATAGTAACCGTAATTAAATAAATTGGCCGAAAGTAACACTAGTAACTTCAGTACTAACCCTAAAATAAAGTCACTGATGTATTTGACAGAACTGACACTTAAGGTATCCCAAAAGACTAAAAATTACCCTATTCATAAAATTTCTTGTTTAACTAGATCAGGTGTGATACAAGTATTGTTGTAAGTAATTATAAATATTTACTTACAAGTTTTGATAATTCCGAGGACCATGTGTTCATAGTAACAATATTTTTTCTTGGTAGCCAATGCTCATAAATACTGCACAACTTTTCTACTGCCTCCCGTCCAGCTTCTGTATTTTCACCACCAATCAAAACTCTATCAGCATTGAGCAAATCATTTACCGCGGTACCTATAAAATAATAAATTTAAAAAAAATTGTATTTAAGAAGGTAATTTATTTGTTGATTTACCTTCAGCTAGGAACTCAGGATTAGACAAAATCTGATAAGTTACACCAGGTTTTTGATTAGCAATTAAAATATTGGCTATGCTTTCGGCTGCTCTTACAGGAACTGTACTTTTTTCTACTACTATTTTGTTGTTTTGTGCCACATCTGCTATTATTCTTGCTGCGCCCTCTACGTATTTTAGATCAGCTGCTCTGCCCTAAATATAAATACATTCATTTTCAATATTTTCTAAGTGAACCAACGTGATTAGATTAAAATTAATCAAAATGCGTCCTTTCTAATTTCATTGCAACAAGCACGAAAAACTTTTTACTCAATTATAAGGTAAATAATTAGAGGACATAATGGACATTTAAAATGTATGTGATTCTTCAAACTAAATTAGATCAGTATCCACATAAATTTACTCTAAAAAATTACCTTTCCATTTCCGTTGATTTTTGTAGGAGTGTTTACAGAAATAAAAATCAAATCAGCTTCTAGAATTGACTCTTCAATGTTATTTGAGAAAAACAGGTTTTTACCTCTACACTTTCTCACTACGTCATCTAAACCAGGCTAAAAAATAAAATTTAATGGATAAATAAGGTTATCCTTTTTAGAAATATGGTAAAATCCGTAGAAGAGAAAGGAAACTCAAAAGTTTACCAAAAATACTTATTTGAAAACTCTTTAATTAATAGGGGAGGATAACCATTTTCGATATATTTTTTTACCTCATAAATAGGCAGTTTTTCTGAGTTCCATTGGGCTATTCTGTCTTTGCTGAGGTCAGCAACTGTAACTTTAATTTCTGGGCATTTTAAAGCTATCACACTACACGTAGGACCTCCAACGTATCCAGCACCAAGACAGCAAATGTTTTTTATACTCATTTTCTAATTGCGTATTGTTCTGAAAAAGAAAACTATTTTTTAATAAAAAAAAGTCGATCTTCGGGTTTTTGCACATCTTCGGCTATGGCAAGCTTCTGGATTTAGTATATTATGTTACTACTATACTCTGTTTTTAAACTAGGAGGAGCGAATTAAAAAGACGCATTTACACAGGGAAAAGTAACTAGATTCGTTACTAAGAGCTTGTTCCGAAATAAAGTCGTGTTCAAAATTTATGTAATAGTTGTTATTATCGGCCCTAGTCGGCGAACATCCAATTAGGGATTAAGGAACAAATAAATGTCAAAGGAGTCGATTTTTTATTGGTTCCAGACAACTGTCACAAATTTCTTATTATTGTGATCTGAAAAGTGTGTCTAAAACGAATTGTCACTGTCAAATGAAATTTATTATGGTTGTTGATTTGTTGACGTTATCAGTAATATGTTTTTCTTGCTTTTGAAATCGACTTTTTGAGGATTGTAACTGTTTTAAATGGATATTGAATATTTATGAAAATTGTTAAAAGAATATCAAGATGCCGGTTAGTATAAAACATAGAAATATTATCGTTTTACATGTTTAATGTTTTATTTGTTATAGGTATAAACTTAAGTAAAAGGTAATCAGTGAATGGCAATTGGATCACACAATGACTGGAATTTATCCTATGAGTAATATGGATATTGTAGCTAATTTGCTGTTAACCCATAGTTAATACGCTACATAACACTACATATCAACACTATATCATTACTAAATTTTAACTTAATGATATTATAGGTCTTTTTAACTCAAGTTCTAATTTTTACCCGTATTTTTTAATTTATAGTGAACTATTCATACATACCTATACCTATATATTAATGTTAAGTGGGTATTTTTAAAATATTTATTGCGGAAATAATGTTAGCCCATTATGCTAAATTAAGATTATCTATTGTAAGAGATAGTGTTTTACATGTGAATTAACAATTTTGTAAATGGTTTTATGGTCTAATAAATAAAATTTACTTGAATATTTAGTTACTTTTTAATCAGTTTGGTCAGAAATTTATCAAGTTTTAGTTTTAAAAAACCAGTAATAAACTTGTTAGTTTTTTTCTGGAATACTTCGGAATTCATCTCTTCATGTCTCCCGTCTTTTTGCCTTCAAAACCAATAATGTATTTTCTACAAAATCCTTTTCAGAATCAGCAAAAATAAGTCGTCTTCCCTTTCTTGTAGGGCTTTTCAGGAACTGGTACCCTTAATAGTACTCGGTAGAGAAGGGTCCATAATCGTAATAATTTAATACAATTGCTTACTGAAGTTTTGAAAAGAACTATTACCTATTTACGAAATAAAGTAAAAACTAAGTAATAATGAGATATCAAAATATAAAATGTCAGAACTGTCAACAATATCAATTTTTATTAGCTGATGTTAATGCTAAAAAGTGATGTGTGAAACTGACTGCAATCTGACCAATCAGAAATCTACAGAATTACCAAATCGCTCCTCCTAGTTTAAAAATAGAGTATAGTAAAACTTTAACGTTTATTACTTAATAAACTAAATAATTAGATTATTATTATTTTATATTGTTTTTTTTTTTGGAAGTTACACATTTAGGCAAATGGTAAAAATAAACAATTTCTATAATCAAAGAGTAATATAATTAATAAGATAGTCTTTAAGATTATTCAGTAATTAATTTTTCAAGGTTTCACACTGCTAAAATATCGTAATTTTTTAAAAGAAGTACATTTTGATACTGAAATCGGTCGTGTCTAAGGTTAGTGAGATCATTTATTGATACTTATGCCTAAACAAAATCCTTACTACTAAATAAACAACCTTGAATGTTTTAATCAAACACACATTCAATTTGACCTATAAAATTTGAAAAGAAATATTTTTAGAATTTGTTTTGACGTCCGAAAAACTTTACTTTTTATTCGAATGTAATAAACCAAATTTATAGAAAATAAACACAAATGTAATAATTTATTGGTGATAAAAATCTTTTAGTCTAAGGCTCGCAGCCGTGAAGATACTATGATTGTACTTCCGACTGGAATTTTGTGAAGTGGTTGGCAAAACCATCAGTAATTCTCATCTGCAGAGATTAAGTTAAGAACCCCTGCAAAGGACACGTTAGACAATTCCAATACATCCCTTGTGATTCTCTTGTATAAAATATAATTATTTTGTTGTCAATATCGCTTTGGTCACTTTTTACTTTCCTATCTGTATACAGATATAAGGAAAGTATAGGAATCATGATTTTTTTCGACCTCGAGTTTTCGACGGATTTTTACGTTTTGAGGTCCCCTGAATCCGTTTTGACTATTTTCGCGATGATGTCTGTGTGTGTGTGTCGGAACATCTGGGGGGGTACTTTATAGGTGGTCATTTTTATATTTTATGGAATATATCTGTTATTTACGTTTGGGGAAGAAAATTTTTTAAATAAAAGTTACTTCTTATTTTATTATCTATAATTTTTGTAATTTACAAAATTTTCCTAAAATGGTCCGTATTCGAGAAATTTGACAAAATGTAAAAAAATATTTTTTTTTATAAAAATTGTTCAAACAAAAGTTGTTTGTAATATAATTCTCTATAATTTTTGTCCCATAGATAATTTCTCTAAAATGGACCGTATTCGAGATATTTGAGAAAATGTGTAAATTTCGAAATTTGAAGAAAACTCAAAAACGGATAAAGAAAAAATCAATAAATTTTAAACTTAAGTTTTATTTCGGCCTGACGTGAAATGATTAGATTTTGGACAAAGTCGGAACATCTGGGGGGGTACTTTATGGGAGGCCGTTTATATATTTTATGGAATATATCTGTTATTTATGTTTGGAGAACAAAATTGTTTAAATAAAAGTTACTTCTAATATTATTATCTATAATTTTTGCCTTATGTAAAAATTTCCTGAAATGGTCCGTATTCGAGAAATTTGACAAAATGTGCAAAATTCTGATTTTTATGAAAATTGTTGAAATAAAAGTTGTTTGCGATATCGATCTCTATAATATTTGTCCATACATGATTTTTTTTAAATGGACCGTAATGGAAAAATTGTAGGAAAAGTGCTAAATTTAAATTTTTCAGTATTTTCATTTTCAATGAATATCTATAGAAAAATGTTTCGCGGTAGATGTATGTGGACAATGTATATATATTTAGTTTATCCTCTAAACATTTATAGAGATGCTGCAATAGGTTGTACACAATAAACGGAAAAAGCCTGTAATAACTAGATAGGAAAGTCATGTGTTGGACACATCAGATTTTTAATATGAGACATTGCCCTTGTTATACCATTGTTTACAACACTCTCCATTTTAGGTTGAAAAACAAAGCGTAAAAAAAAAATTTGAAATGTTTTCGGATCATCATATTAGCGGATGTCATACATATGAACAGTCAGAGCAGTGTTTTTGTTTTTGGCTGTTGAATATAGTGAGCCAGAGGCGGAGGCGTAAACTACATGATTGTCTATATGGAAGTGATTCCGAAATATAATCAAAATCAAACTTTGTTACAGGTAAGTCGTTTAATCTATGAGTAAAATACACTACATTACGTTAATTATAGACAATTAAAAAAATTCAGGTATGTGTAATGTAATGTCACCACCCAAAATTTTTTAGAGAATTTCATAGCTTACAAGGCAGAAAGAAATGTTTCCAGCGGCGTAATTTCAAAAGCTTGCAAGCTTTTGTAACAGTGTACCCTTGATTAACCTAGGTTTTGTCCACATAATAAATGTTATCCTCTAATATATTTACGAATTTCCTTTACATGTCTTTTATTTAAAATAACAAAAAAAATTGCTACCTCATCTACTATATACCTTGGAAAATTTTCGTGAATACCATCACATACATTTTTACTTTCCTATCTGTATACAGATATAAGGAAAGTATAGGAATCATGATTTTTTTCGACCTCGAGTTTTCGACGGATTTTTACGTTTTGAGGTCCCCTGAATCCGTTTTGACTATTTTCGCGATGATGTCTGTGTGTGTGTGTGTGTCTGTGTGTCTGTGTGTGTGTGTGTGTGTGTGTGTGTGTGTGTGTGTGTGTGTGTGTGTGTGTGTGTGTGTGTGTGTGTGTGTGTGTGTGTGTGTGTGTGTGTGTCTGTATAACGCATAACTCATGAACCGATACACAGAAAAACACCAAATTTTAAACTTAAGCTTTGTTTCAGCGTCCAATGAGCTGATTAGATTTTGGGCAGTGTCGGAACATCTGGGGGGGTACTTTATAGGTGGTCATTTTTATATTTTATGGAATATATCTGTTATTTACGTTTGGAGAAGAAAATTCTTCAAATAAAAGTTACTTCTAATATAATTATCTATAATTTTTGTTTTATGCAAAATTTTCCTAAAATGGTCCGTATTCGAGAAATTTGACAAAATGTAAAAAACATAATTTTTTATAAAAATTGTTCAAATAAAAGTTGTTTATAATATAATTATCTATAATTTTTGTTTTATGTCAAAATTTCCTGAAATGGTCCGTATTCGAGAAATTTGACAAAATGTGCAAAATTCTGATTTTTATGAAAATTGTTGAACTAAAAGTTGTTTGCGATATCGATTTCTATAATTTTTGTTTATACATGATTTTTCTAAAATGGTCCGTAATGGAAAAGTGCTAAATTTAAATTTTTCTGTATTTTCGTTTTCAATGAATATCTATAGAAAAATGTTTCGAGGTAGATGTATGTGTAAAATGTATATATTTAGTTTATCCTCTAAACATTTATAGAGATGCTGCAATAGGTTGTACAAAATAACCGGAAAATGCCTATAATAACTAGATAGGAAAGTCATGTGTTGGACACATCAGATTTTTTATTAAGTTATATTCTGCTTTTGAAAAATAATCCCGATATTAAAGCTTGGTAACTAAAAATTCATTTTTAAAATAGTTCAAAAGAAAACAATTAATAAAAATACCGCGATTTACTTGTTACCTTATACAGCCACGCAACTGTTCTGTATTAGAGATGACAAGCCACATCGATGAATAAGATGATCAATTTTCATATCTTAGCATACTAAATTCTGTGGCATTTTATTACTTATTAAAAATTGAAAGAGAAAATCTTAGTCTGGCAATGCACTACAAATTGAAACAGACATTTAGCAGGCATGTCAGATGAACATTGTTTTACTTATATTTCGGGTCTGATTTGATTAAAAAAGTTTTAAATACTGTGCCTCAAATTTAAATATTATAATTTAACTGAAACAAATGATCTTAAGTATGATAATATAAGTGTTAAGTGACAATTATTTATTTTAATAAGCCTAATTGCATAATTTTATAAAGAAAGAAATAATCTTCTTTCAATACATATTCCTGAAATTTTCCCACTGTCTATAACTAAAGTAACGCAGTATATATACTTACATTAATGTTTTATTTTTATAATATATAAAAAAAGTTGTATATAATAGTTATTTATGATACAAGGGTATGTAGATATGCTTTTGACAATTAATTGTGAAATGTATCTAAAAAATGCATTTTTAAAAAAATTATCAAAAAAATTTAATTGTGAAATTTACCCATCTAAATAATACACATTTTTAAAAAATAGAGAAGTAGGTATAAACCAAAAAAAATCCAAAGTACACTTACAAGAAAACAACTTTTAAGTTTATTCATGAAGTTCCAGAGGATAAATTCCTTGTGATGAAGGTATACAAGATAATTTACATTTAAATACCTACTCTACTCTAAAAATAATTCTATAAATCTTTGTTTTTTTAATTCTGGCCATAGATAAAATATATGCCATACATGTTTGAAGTACTTTTTTGCCCAGTCATAATTTTCGGAACTTTCAAAAGCATTTCTGCTCACACAATAAAAATAACTATTAAATTTTCTTACCTGAGTTTTATTATCAGATATTTTTTTTTTTTGTAAAATGTTAAAACACACTTATGTTCTTATTGAGCCACTGCCTGGATATATACTAAACCATAGCCTGAAATGTTTAAATCAATTAAACAAAAAAATGTTAATCATCCTCTCTGTTGCCAAGGACAATGCAGAAGTACTGATTGAAGATTTTTAATAATTAAGAATAAATAAAACATCGATTCTTCTGTAACAATAATTAATTTCTTATGTTGAAATAATGTGGCCACATTCCTTATCAGCTTCAACATCCGGTATTTTTGGCAAGAGAGATGAAAGAAACTATTAATAAACGTAATTCTCAGAATTTTAACTTCGGTCTTTTGGACTGAAAAAATATATACCTACCTGTAGTACCTAGCATGTTAGCAGCAATTTTAATGGCAAAACACTGAGAATATTAAATAAAGTCATATAATTTAATCTAACATAAATGCTCTAGTCATAAAACAATAATAATCCTTTTAAATTCATTTAATCTTGTTCTGATAAAATTTAAACTTAAATCTACTTACTTAGAAGATATGTTTGTTAGAAGGTTTAGCTCATATTTGTTTAGCCCCGTCCATCAAAAATATTTAAAAAATAACATTAAATCAATATTTGTATACAATTTTAATTTTTTTTAAAGAAAAAACACTAAAAACAACTATTTACATTGTCTATCACGTTTCATAGCACAAATCAGAAATCACAAAACATTTTATCCATAATGCAACGTGGGTTGTGGGTTACTTGCGCCTACAGAACACTTACTCTGCTTGCGCCCTCTGGTTTTTGCGATGACAGCACTATTATTTATTTTTTTAAATTATTTATTATACATTTTGTTTACATTAATCAATTGTTATAGTAAAAATTAATTATTTGTTTATAAATACAATCTAAAAAGAACGAACTCCATTTTGTTCGATATTGATTTATAACATCTATCGTGTAAATTGTAAACTACGCTTCGTTTAATACAGCGTTCTGTAATGGAATATAAATTTTCTTCTAATAGTGGTTTTTAGCGCAATTAAAATCGATAATGTAGAATACTAAAACAGATTTCTGTAATAAGAGGCATCTGTTAGTAATTGATTGTAAGCAGGGGGTCAATTCTCGACTTGTAGGAACCTTTTCCTATAGGAATTTGTGACACTTTCCTACATGTAGACGAATGTCATAAATTTCCGATGTGTAGAAAAATGTCCCCCTGGGGGTCGATTCTCGACTCGTAGGAATATTTTCCTATTCGCTCCGTGCCACATACTTAAATAGGTATACGGCGTAAAACCATCTGCGCATCTTTACTGAGTGTTTAATAAAAGAAGATAGAAATGACCGCCATTTTTATATAAACAAACTGAAACTTATGCAACCAATTTATCTTTCCATCTGTCAAAAGTGTCAAATTTTAATGTGTGAATTTGGTTAATTTTTTTTGTGTTATTTTAGAATATTTTGATTGTGGATATTATTTTCTAAGTGTATAAACGTTTTATTTATTTTAACATTTGTGAATAGACTTTAATCCCAGTATAAGTTCTCTATACTGGGCTTTATTCAAGATGTCTTGTAAGATCTTGCAAGAACATAAGAAGACTGTTGCCAATAGATTCAAATGTTACATTCCACAAGTAAGTAATAAGATTTAGCAAAAATAAAGGATATGAAAGAAGTGTCTTTATATTATTTTAGGGTTCCAAAACAAGCAGATCGTTCCTTATTGTGGTTATCTGCCATATAGAGATTGGACAAAATTTCTTTTAAGTTGTTAGTACAATTCACTGCAGAATCAATAAGGACGACTCGTTCACTAAAAATTTGTAGCTTTTAGAAATTATACAAGAAGAAGAAAGTAAATTGTTTAAAATAAAACAAATATGCAACCATCAATTTAATTTTAAAGTATCCTGGAAATTTTAATATTTTTAACTTCCTCTACTGTACTTTTGTCATTTAAAATTAGTATTTAGGTATTTAATCTATTATTTGTCGGCCTATTATTTATCAGTCTAAGAACCGATTCCACCGTTGTGTTAAACGAAGTTTAAAATTACATTTTTACATTAAGAATGTCATTTTAATATCCGTTTAACACAACGGTGGAATTGGTCCTAACATATATTTTTAAACATTAAAATATTTTTTTTGTTGTAGAATAAAAATTTAATTCAGATATAATATTGTATTATTTCTTTTAAAAAATCTGTACAAAATGATGTATTTAAAAGTGAAAAGACCTAGACATCTGCAACCAAGTTTTCATATTGCTGTATTTCTGGTCACCTATGTACTAGTAATCTTGTATAAAAATGGCCGCCCCTATGTTAAACAGGTCGGACGTCTCTCTTGCTCCGTATACCTATTATAAGTATGTGCTCCGTGCGCGACAGCAGCGCCAATTCGTTTTGATACTAATGGAGGATTTCGGCGTATACTGACAAATGCAACTTTTAATAGAATTCGTAATTAAAAAGTATACATGTTAGTTTTAATAAAAGTATATGGATTTGTAAAACAAGTAAAACATTAATTTATTATTATTATATATTTTTATCGCTTAAATTAAAGAAAATTATGTATAATTGTTAAAAATCAATAATAAAATATAGGCAGGCAACAGTATTTACTGGAAAATGTATGAGAAGTTGCCTAAGTCTAATAAGTTTTCATTGAATAATTAGTCTATTCTGTCAAAATACAAAAATACCATTTAATAATAGCGTGAAGTTAAAATGTATAAAAAAAGGATCATTACTTATATTTTCATTTTTGTTCGAAAGAAAACAGAATGAATGATTAAAACTGATTTCCTATCAGTAAGTTACAAAATTGCGTTCCAACCACATATAATAATCAAAGGCAAAAATCTTGAAATCTAGTCCTTGCTGAATGAACATTTAAGAATAAGGGATATTAAAGAACATGGTAAAATGATAATCTATTGTTGATTTAAAACCTTTCAAGTTTCTGATGTCTACTATTTGCAGCATTACGGTTATTATTACAAAAATAAAGGTAATTTTCCTTCTTATTGTATATCTATCCATTCATTTCCTTGATTTAATTTCCACTTTGCTACTGAAATTTTTTATATAAGTTTCACTGTTTTTTTGCTAGTATTTGTACAATTTTCAACACAGCAACTCCGGTTGCTTATTGTATTGTTTTTACCTACTTTTTTTAAAAAAAAAGTAAAATGTATACGTGTATTTGATATGCCAAAATTACCAAATATCGCCCTAAAATGCACGAATTATCCGCAGCTAGCGCTAGTATCGCTTTTGCTTCCCTTTCCATGACTTCGCACGGAGCGAATTGGAATTTTTGACATTTTTATGTACATCGAAAATTTATGACATTTTCCTATCTATAGGAAAGTGTCACAAATTCCTATAGGAAAAGGTTCCTACAAGTCGAAAATCGACCCCCAGATGGGAAACATTCTATTCTAAAATTATAAAATATCTTTATTATTATAGTGATCCACAAAATATGTTTCTAGTAGGCAATAATCGACAAAGACAGCTATACTGGTCATATCCGTGATAACTGCGTACCTCTCTAAATTAAATCCAAGCAAAGAATAATTGTATGCTCCGACATGCGTGAATTTTCTTAAGGCCTACTGAAAAATATTTTGTGCGTATCACTATTAGGCATTCCAAACAAAATGGCTGCCAGTGGGTTTTGACACGTTATGATATGGAAATCCTGTGGGCCTGCTGATTTGAACGGGTCAATGAAATAGTTATATAAATTAAATATCCATGTTTTCAAAATAAACATCAGCTTATACCTTGAAGTATAAATGTAGGTAACTAAAATTGGTTTTAAAACATATTTTTGCTAAACTGTTTCTGATTAATGAGCACTTGCGAGGCAATATAGCCGCTTGCAAAACGACCCTCTTTGAGCAATCTATACAACTTATATATGTATCATTGTCCCTGTCAATGACAGCAGGCCACAGGTTTGCCATATCTAAATTGTCAGTTCCCACCTATGGATCCCACTTGTCAAACAAAAGCTGCCGAAGGGCAGGGTTAGTATATCTAAAGGGGTTGCGACGCAGTCTTCCATTTTGGATGCTAATTTTGTTCGTAATAGTAATCGCCAAGCTTGCCAATTTAAGAAATATGTATATGCGATTTTTGTAAAATGACATTTTCATGGTGATCAACATAAAATAGGCAGTTTTTTTTAGGATATATAGAATATTTAAATTTAATTCATTTTTTGATGATTCATCTTGTATAGTTGTCTTAAATTCAACCGGTCTTTTTTCTCATCTAATTTCTTAACAAAAGTCATCTATTTCGATATATAGAAATTTAATTTAAGTAAATTAAATGAAAATAATATTTGATACATAAAAAATTATCAATACCTACGCAAACGACAACCCATTAGCAGATCTGCTTAAAAAAAGTTTTGAATCGCTACTGTGCCGAAGAATTTTAATGTAACCTTGGAGCCGGAAGAATAATTATCAAACGTGGAGTTTCCGGTCAAACTGACGATATTTTCAACCTTCTGTTGTATAATACACTCTTATGGTATTGATTACTGCCCGAAAGCCTTTTGAAATCACGGCTTTCTGAGCAACAATCAAAATCAAAAAAGTTGAAATGATTTTCAGTAAGCTCTACCTGAAAATAAAATGTTTATGTTAATATAAGTATTAAAAGTTAAATATTTATTTTATTAAATTTGACGAACGACGTTTTTAATAACCATATAGAGTTGATGTAATTTTAAGGAACACATTCACCAATATCTACCCGTATCCCCTAATTATTCAGTTAGGTATCGTTAAATACCTACTCTATAAAATGATACTTATACATATAACTCAAACAGTGGGGAGTAGTTGATTTACAAGATGATTAGGCATGAAGTAAAAGCAACTAAAGTAAACATACATTAAAAATAAATTAAAGTAGGTAAACACTAAACCAAAAAAAGATTAAATAAAAATAATATCTAAAACATCCTAAATTTTAAAATAAAATAAATAAATAACGAAGCCATATGTGACACAAAATACGAGCGACCGTTTCCCTTCAGAAAACAACTAATTAGTTGGCTAATACCACAACAGGCATTGAATTATATCTAAAGGTAAGGCAGGTTAAGAAGCATATTAGAAGAGAGCGATATATTGACGTCGAAACTTTTTCCTTGTCGCCTTAGTGGCCGAAGGGACGCAGTAGATCTTTTATTTCGCAGTGTATCAGACACCCTCTATAGTATCAAATTATCTTAGTAGAGGAAAATTTCGTATAATAAGTTATATTTACCTATTTAAAATTTACCAGATGTTGGGGTCTATTCTGTAAAAATTCCTTTATATTTAACGGCCTTTAAAAATATTGGCGGCCTTTAAAAGTATATTTGTATTTGTTAATTTACTTCTGTCATTATTTAAACAGATTTCTTTAAGATAGTACTCTAATGTATTTTAAAGATCCGTTTAAATATTTTTAGAGGCCGTTAAATATAAAGGAATTGTTACAGAATAGACCCCAATGTAACGAGAAAAAAAACACTATATTGTACAAACAAGTATTATTAAATAATATTTAAAACTAAAATCGTGCAAAAACGTTTAATTTTAGAATTCAAATCAAAACACATATTACAGTATAATAACAGTCCGACTATGTATATAATTTTATTCAGACAGTCAAATTTATACTAGTCAATCATAAATGTTTGGAATGAAAGAGATTTTCACTAGTAATACTACTAGAAGTCAAATTATATCCGAAATTTTTTCTCGAAAAAGTTTAGGTATAATTTGATTTGGTAAGAAAATTTCAAAGCAAAATAAGTTTATAATATAAATGGCTTAAACTTTTTATTTATTAATTTTAGTAATATAGAAACACCAGTTTCAGATTTAATATCGGATATTCTTTTCTAAT